ATTCATTATCAAGTACTTTTTTCACTTCTTCTAAGAGTGGTAATGTGACATTTACTTAGGAAATAATTGATTATTCTTTAAATCTAAATATACGAATCGAAATAATAAAATTAAAAGTTGATTTGATTTAATGAAGCAATAGATAATGTTCTTCCGTATTTTCTATAAAAATGAAGTCAATAACATTATCCAAACCTGTAATTTAACCAAATTAACCATTTTCAACATAAAAGTAAACATCAGCAATTTAACAATTTATTAGACTCAAATTTCCTTCTCTTTTTATATATTTTAATTCATCCACCTATTCTACCTCAAATTTTCTTTAAATGTTATTTACTCTTATCAAAAAGGTGTCTTCCTCTCCTAATTAATACTCAAAACCATATAGTGATTAATCCACTATTTTTATGATTAAAAAATTAAAATTACCCAGCCAAATTATTGCTATTTAATTATAAAGTATCGGAAAAATACACATTAAACTATTATTATCCAATAATATGATTGAAAACATTACTTCTACATTTGATTCTAAATTTAGAATTTTGAAAAGCCAACTACACGCAATTTTTTTTAAATCATTACATTATTGGATTGATAATATTGAATTAATAGGGCTTATATTAATTATTGGATTTGAATTAATTTTATAGCTTAATTTGTCTATGGGACCATAAAAATAATTAGATACTTTGAATTAGAAGTTGGAAGGGGCCTTATGATAGATTTCAGTTGAGTTAAAAAGTGCATGCAAATGTCTGCATTCATTTATGATATATATCTTTAAATCAAAATTATATTTCTTATTTTAGTTATCAGATTGAATTGTAGCTGTTATTTGATCTTTTAAAACTAATTTATTCATCATAATTTCTTCAATTTAAATTTCAAAATCATATTCATTTAAATTTCTTAAGCTAAATCCTTATTTGGGTTTGTAAAATACTAAAAAATTCTCTTATAGAAAAATAAAGGGAGTATCAGTTTATATAATTTCCAAAAAAAAATATTCTTCATTCATATATGAGAATATCAAAACATGAATAGATTGATTTTTTTCAGCTTAAATACAAAAGTAATTTTCGTTTTCTTTGTATTGCAATGGTTTTATTAGGTTAAATTCTGGATTCGTCCAATTAAGTTTAAGTAGTACTTCACCTTCATCAAAAATGTATCCTAAAATTGAGTTTGTTTCAATTTGTATCGCAATAATAGAATATAGCGAATTTACTATAGATTTAAGGGAAATTATTTGGAATGCAGGAAATTGATAACACTTTGTTTTATTATCCCTTTCAAAATAAATTATGCCAGGATATTAGATAATTTGAATGTATTAACATTATGTGTAAAATAAAATTTAGGTGTTAGAGAAGGAATTTAATGGTGAATATTATAAATTATTTACGTTTCCTAGATTAAAACTTTGATAGGCATGAAGTAAATTTATTATGTAAATGAAATTATTTACATCTGTGTAAACAAGCAAATAATTTTGAAATTGTTTAATTTGAAAAATCTTATGATCAAACTTTATATTATGTTATTAAATATTCTAAGTTCTGCAATACAAGAGCCTTCCAATATTAGTATTCTGATCATAAATAAAAAAGTTACTTAAATAGTCATATACTTAAGCAGAATGTAGAAAAATTTATATTAAAACTCTTTTTCTTAAACAATTATAAACAAAGAAATTGTTATCTATTTCATAAATGAAATTCTCCTACTCTATACTTGAAAAATCATAAATTTTGTAATAGGATGTATATTACAGATTCTTTATCGAACAAGAATTTTTATTAATTGTTAATCTTTTGATACTTAGGCTTAATTAATTTGTTCTGTATTTTATTATATCAAAGCTAAATAATTCAAAGGGTGTTCCTGGATATATGTTGAATTTATAGTTTAATTTCATTTCACAATTAAATATGAGATCAGTAGTAAAAATAGGAATCAAAGTTTGGAGTTATGATATGTACTCTAGCCTTTTACATTAAACATTTTCGTAATTGCCAAAGATTTATTTCTCATCTAACTCAAAAATGTATTGCTTTTTCGGTTATATTATTTTTCTAATTTGCGAAAATTTATAGAATTGTATAAATTTATTGGAAGGATCAATTTAATAAAATAGATTAAATGAATCCAAAAAGGTCAATGGAGTTGCCTCAATTTAATATGTTTTATTAATGAATGTTGTTATATCAACAATAAGCTCATTTTTTCTCTTTAAGAAAAGTAAATACTAGGCATAATTAATATCATAGAACTCATACAACTCATGGAGAACAAATTCTGTATTTTATACCAACGAAGTATCCACAAAATCTTTTTAATTATAAATTATTGGTATTAATTGTGTACATTTTTACATAATTATTAACTTTTATATAAAATTAGAGGCAGTGTGAATGGAATACGAAATTATCTCAATTCCTCCTTTCTTAATTTCAATTTTTGCGTATCGATTTTCTTCAATTAAATATAGATTAGTTTGAAAATTTTTTTCACAAAATTAAATATCTCTTATTATCTTCAAGTTTAATTTCATAATAATATGTTGATAATCAATAACTATTTAAGCCTTCTTACTTGATTAATCTGTCCATAAAATCGCCCAATAAGCACAATTATAATAGGCAATTATCAAACTTTTATCAACCAATTTATATTAAGTTATTTTACACTTTTCTTAATATTAAATACTTAAATCTAGTTAAAATTAAAGTGTTGTCGAATTGTGAATATCTACTTCATATAAGTTCAACATAGGATTATTGCTGCAAAGCAATATAAATGATTATTTAGTTTTATCAAAATGCATATAATCACATTATTCTTATGATATAATTTTAGTTTATATTAGGATAACTTGTTCAAAATCATCTTTTTGATCAAAAAAGATTGAGTTGCTCTCAATACAATTGATACAATATTTATTTAGTTTAAATAAATAACAAATGAGTTAATTTGTAATTTTATTTTATATTTCAAAAGGTTCAATGATCTGAAGTGATATAAAATTTTCTTGATAAGGAATTTAAAAAGTTTTTTATACAATATCCATATTGATGCTCTGAGAATTTAAAATATTTTCATCATCACCTTCTAGGATCAGCTATTTTTGATAATTATAAATATAGGATTAGTTGGGTGAAATTGTAATATTCTTGCAGGTCTTGGAGTAGCTTCTTTGTGTTAGGAAAAATTAAAGAATAAAAAAAATAAACATTATTATTAATTTTCAATTTTTGCAAGAAATGAGTTTGATTTTAATTGATAATAGGAATATATTGTATTTTTGTTTATTAATTAATGTATAAATAATGTTATTGTGAATAATAAAATTCATTAGATAGTTTTTCTTGTATAACTTGTAAGAGATAGAACCATTGGCCATGTTATGATTATTAAATAACAGATAAATAACCTTTAGAACAACGTTGTTTAGATTGCATATTCCAGGCCAGCAATCCATTTAAACAAATTGAAGTACATTAAATAATTATCCAATTTTTCAGCATTATGTTAGATTCAATAATAAAAAGAGTAAAATTTTCTAGATTGGAAAAACAGTTTAAGAACAATAGTTTTCGTTTACTTTTGAAGTGAACAAATATTATGAGGATATAAAAAAAAATTAGATAATCCTTTCAATATTTTGTATCAAGATGAAAGAACAAAAATAACTTTTTGTATGGCCTAGCACTAATATAGAAATACTGGTTAATGAAAGATATTAAATAAAATATCATGAGACTGATTTTGCTTATGTGTAATATAATTGAAATTATTCTAGGTCTCCTAACAATATTGTCAATGGTTAAAATCGTATTCAACTTATTTTCAAGGATAAGAATGAGTACAATTCATTATTTGGAATTTTGCTGGTTAAAAATATTGAGTGGCAGGAGGTTAAACAATAAATAATGGATGCTGATAAGGATTAGATAGAATAAATTATAACTTAATAAAAGGTTTTCTATTTCGATAAAATAAATAAACCAAATGAAAATTCAGAAGAATCTATTGATGTTTAGGTTTAATCAAATTTATCAATTAACTTATTAGATCCTTTTACATAATAGCAATTGCAATTGCCAGCCAGAGGAAAAAATTGTTAACATGTAAATTGCTTTGATTTAAATACCTTTTTAATTTTCAATTCTCAACCAAATAAATGTAGATGGACATGTCCTTATTGCCATTTAACTACTGCTTATGATTAAATCTAAATCGATTATTTATAAGTTCGACTGTTATAGGATATCAAGATTGATCACCCAAATATCTATTATAAAATTTAAAAAGTGTCCTTGAATCAAATATTTCAATACTAAATAAATCCAAAATTATAAAAAAAGTAAATGTCGAGAAAATAATCGATTTTAAACTCTTAAAATTTGACATAGCTCATTAAAATAAATAGCAAAGCTCTTGAATTTGAAAATAATCAAATTCAATTTGAAATTGTGGAACTTTAGAAAAGGAATAATTATACATCAGCTTATATCACCTTTAAGTCAGCTAAGAAATTAATTCAAAAAATAAAATAAAAAGAATTGTTAAAAAATAATATAGTCAAAGATACTTCAGAATTGGTGAAATATTTTTGTAACTTATTTGACCTCAAATACTATGATAAATTTAGTGTTTTTGATAGTTAAGTGGATTTGTAATATTTAGAGTCTCAATAGGATTTTGAATTAATCTGCAAAGCTATTTATGAAAATACAGTGAGTGGATTATTTATATACTTTATTAGATTTGTAACTCCCTCTATTAAAAGTTTTGCTTAAGCTATAATGCAATTCAGTTCTCATCTTAAACTATCATTTAAATTAAATTATTAAAAGAAAATGCTTGAGTTATTTTTAGCTGCCTCCTATGATAAAAATGAAAAATATTCATAAGGATACAATTTCAAAGTGATTTGTAGTTTATGTAAAGTGACAAATGATGAGTACACTAATCACATTATATACTTATCATAAAAATTAAGAACAATATTTTACAATCTCAATGCTAGTAGCTTATTCATAGTTCGTAATTGTATCAATCTAAGTCACATGTTTGATCAAGATTTTATTTATAATAAGTTAAGGGAAGATTAGGATATATACGAATCATCAGTAGAAACTATTAAGGAAATCTATAGCGCATAAATACTCAAAGAAAATCCCAACGTTTCAGAAATACTTGCACTGATTTTGTATTTATTATATAGAAGTAATAATTTCATTTAATTGGTAGAGGATAAGATTTATGAGAACATTTGGAATTAATTTAATGATTATAATTTAGGCAATGTGAAGAAGAAATTTAAGAATTTGGAATATTAAAATGATTTTTGCTATTTATGAGATAATATATATGATTTATTAAATCAAAAAATTTTTATATGTTTAATTATTGATGAGAAAATGTAAAAATTAAAAAGTTATCTTGAATTGGATCTTCTTAATCATCAATTGATAATTCTCTTCATTATTTAATTCCATGATCCATCAAATAGTGATGGTTTGAATGAGAAATAATTAGGGAATTATCCTTTTTATCCCTGCTTTAGCTTTTAAATCTTAGTTACTAGTGTTTTGAGAGATGTCCTCAAAATTGAGATGAATTTTCTCTTTATTAATTTGCTTTTTGATTATAAATGATTAACATTTAATCCTACAGAACCCTCAATAACGGATTATGTTGAAACAACTTTAAAACAATCTGAAAATAGAGTTTGAATTAACTTATAATTAAGCAATAAGTCTTAAATTTTGATTTTATTTTCTGGTTATTTTTATAACATAGCCATCAACAAATAAATACGTTGTCAACTGACATTAAGAAATCTAGATTCAGAGAGTCAATTTAGCATTCCTTATTCAATTTCAACAATCTATTTAGCTTGAAACTAAAATCTATTCCAATTCACTGCATTTGTTCTTATCATTCAAACTGTCTATATAGTAATTTCCACAATTCGCAGGTTTTCAGCATTTGCAAATATATCTGTAATTGTTTAATTTGTTACAATGATATTGTCTCTTATTTACAGGTTTTGAAAACTTATCTTTTTGGTTATGAATTATGATACTCAGTAATTAAGTAGATCCGTAAATGAGGAAATTATTAATTTAATAAATGTTAATATTCATCACAAAAATTACAATACTTGCTTCTAGTGTACCAAAGGGTAATTTTATGGACATTTGGACATACAAATCGAAGATTATAAAGAAAATAAACCCTCATTTTATAGCAATTTGTACTTAATAGATGAGAATGGATCTCTATCTATATATAAAATCAAATGTATGAATTACAATGGGATTTCAGATGACTATGAAATAATTACTTTATTTTGCGAATAATAACAAGAAGTATTTAATAATAAAAGTATAAGTATTTATTCATATATAAAATAATGTAATATAAATCGTTCATTGATCCTCATCTAAATAAGCAAATAAATAGCCAAAAACCATATCTTCATCCACTTCGAAGTCCTAGTTTTCATCACCCAATCTAAAATAGTATATATTATTTTTCATAGGAATTAGCATTATTATGTCAGAGCATTTCTGAATAGAAACTCAAGCTCTCGGTTGATCAAGAGAGCCAGACCAAATAAAATAATATTGGACAATCCCACTGGGAGAAGTATCTCCATCATGCCTAAACTTTAGGATTGGATCCAAATTGCCCAAAAGAGTGTAACTTCAATATAGAGAAATCATCAAACCTAAATAATTCGAAATAAACCTCTCTCAACCTCGAATTCATAGTCCCAATCTCAATTAAAGATTCAACCGATCTTTCTATATGGGTCTGCAAGAAATCAATTCGTCATCCCAAAAAAGACCTCTTTTAAATCTTACTAGTACTGTCATCATGGTAGTACCTATTCAATTTAATTTAGATCTAGGATAGCACACAAGCCACTTCAGAACTCTAAACACAGAAAATCTAATAGAAATTTAGACATAATTTCATTTTCCACTATACGATTGGTATCGGTGGATTTGGAAATGTGTGGAAGGTTGAATCCAAAAAAACAAGAATGATCTATGCAATGAAAGAACTCAAAAAAACAAAGTATTCTATCTACTCTATTGAGAATTTTAGCCAAAAAATCCGTAAAGTCTGTTATGAATGAAAAGTAACTGTTATAAAAATTGAAGAATCCTTTTATTATCAATATGGTAGGATCCTTTTAAGACAAAGATCATTTGTATCTAATCCTCGATTATCTATCAGGAGGCGATCTTCGATACCATTTATTGCTCAACAAAACATTTAGAGAAGAATAAATTAGTATTAAGGCATTAAATATATAGAATTTTTTGTGGCTTGCATGATTCTTGGATTAGAATACACAAACTCCTATTAAGTTATTCATAGAGATCTGAAACCTGAAAATTTAGTACTGGATTGTAAAGGATATTTGAAAATAACAGATTTTGGAATAGCTAGATATTATAAAAATGATAATAGTAATGAAACTAGTGGTACACCTGGATATATGGCACCTGAAATAATTCTAAAATAAAATTACAATTATTGTGTTGACTATTATGCAATAGGTGTAATTTGTTATGAAATGATAACTGGTAAAAGACCATATCTTGGTCGAACGAAAAAAGAAATACGTGATGAAATGTTAGGAAAATAAGCATAATTAAATGCGAAAGAGTATTTATAATATTCATTCAATCTTATTGAATTTACAAATAAATTGCTTTTGAGAAAATAACAAAATCGATTGGGTTACTAGAATGGGATCAAGGAACTAAAGAATCACAAACTATTTTAGTCATTTCAATGGGATAAATTAGTGAATAAAACAATGATTGCTCCATATCAACCTAAATAAGAAGATAAGACTAGGGCTTGTTAAAAAACCAGTGATTCATAACAAACACTATTTAATGAATAACAAAAGCAACTGAAATTCAAAGAAATCCAAATGCTATTTGATGGATATACATATTTAACTGAAGACAAGATTATTTGACTATAAAAATCTATTATCAACATTATTCTATCTCTACTCTCAATTCTTACTGGATTTCAAAGAAGCATTACCCACATCTTAATAAACTCTAACCGCATCTTCATTATTTTTATTAATATTGATTTTGCCTCTACATAACAAATTAAAATCATCTCTCTCAAAATGCTATTCAATTTATTCTCGATTACCATCACCCCTAGGCCCAGTAATAAATTTATCAAATGCTAAGCAACATTTACTTGATTTCATTTCTTCTTTTACATTTATAG